AAAATTTGAGGCCTTTATTCACTCAATATTAATCATAAATGTATTCTTCTAGTTAACCCATGCTCTTTCCTCTTATTTGTTAGTCTAGTAAAGTATAAGAAGACAAAGTGTTAAGGAGCTATTACTATTACTTTTATTCTGGAGGGAGGATTGCCTCACGTTAGTTTTATAAACTTTGTATTTTAGCATTTCTGGATTTTAAAAAAACAGAGACAATAATAGAAGAAAGAATTGCTCATCATACTATCTTAAAATCAGTGCTCATGTATAAAAAATAAATTTTCAGTTGCAGTCTTTATGTACTGACCAAATCTCCAAGCACAGTATAATCTATAGCATAGCATTTGGATGAATTTATATTTAGCACTGGTTCCACTCACTCTTCCTCACCCCACCCCTTCTCACCTCAGTTAACTTCTCTTTTCCCTAAAAGCAGAGAATTATGCTCTGGAGGCATTTTGTTTTATTCCTTGCCAGTGAGTATGATTCCTCTGTTTTTTAAAACATCCTTATCTAATATAGATTTTAAAATATAAATGTAAAGGTAGACAGTAGGTCCTTCAAGGAAAAATTTCTGCTGACATAGGTTATCAAGCTTGAAATCCAGATTTACAGTTCATACAGGCTATATAATTTGTAAAACCCAGTGCAAAGTGAAAATGTGATATTCCTTATTCAAAAATTAAAAATTTTAAAACAGTGACAACAGAGACATAGACAGAGACAGCAGTGTAGAAATCCTAGCCAGTGCAATAAGTCAAGAAAAAGAAACAAAAGGCAAACAAATTGGAATGGAAGAAATAAAACTGTATGTATTTGCAGATGACATAATTGTCTACGTAGAAAATCCCAAAGAATTTATACACACACACACACACACAAAATCAAAACTACTACATGAGCTTAGTAAATACACAGTATACAGATTTAATACACAAAAATAATTATAAATATTTGCATTCACTGGAATGCTAGAAACAAAATTTAAAACCGATGTCATTTATGATAGCTCCCTACAAAATGAAATACTTAGGTATCCATTTAGCAAAACATACCAGCTCTGTGTACTGAAAACTACAAAATGCTCAAGAAAGAAATAAAATGAGACCTAGATAAGTGGAGACACATACTGTGTTGATGGATTGCAATATTCAACATAGTAATGATATCAGTTGTTTCCAGATTGGTCTACAAATTCAATGCTATTCCAATAAAAATGCTGGAAGGATATTTCTGTAGATGTAGACAACCTGACTCTCAAATTTATATAGACAGGCAAAGATACTACAATAGCCAAAACAATTTTGAGGGAAAAAAATGAATTGGAAAAATCAGACTACATGATCTTAAGACTCAATTTAAAACTATAGACAACAGGACATTGTGGGATTAGTGAAGGGACACATAGAAAATGGAACAGAATAGAGAGTATAGGAATAGAATAGAAATATGACTAATGGATTTTTGACAAAAGTGCAAAGACAACTCAATGTAAAAAAGATAATCTTTTCAATAAATGGGATGGAAATAATTAGATTCCATATGCCAAAAAAAATTCTGAACCTAAAGCTCACACCTTACATAAAAAATTAACTCAAAATGATCATAGATCTAAATGTCAAGCATAAAACTATAAAACTTTTAGAAAACATTAGAGAAAATCATGACATAAGTTAGTTAATAGTTCTTAGACATAACATCAAAAGCACAATCCATTAAAAATGATAAATTTGACTTTAACAAAAAATTTTCTCAGCAGAGAAGCAGGAAAAAACCATAATATATGGATATGATAACATTTTTAAAATAAAATTTTATAAATACTTACAGAAAAATTTTAAGAAGTGTTATGATGTCTTTGTGGAGCTGGAGTGGATTGTAGAGTTACCTTTCACTCCATACCTTCCTGTAGTGGTTGAATTTTTATAGGCATCTCTTATTTGCAAACAAGGTCCCAAACCTCCCCACCACAGGCAGCTATTAAATGAGCTGTCTGCTAAAAAAAGCTGTAGGGAAGTGAGGGTTGATTCCTTGGATTCCTTCCAACTCTAAAATCCTAGGTTTTTACAATTAGATCAGACATAAGAATTAAAGATCTCCCAAGTGAGAAAATGTTTGTCATTTTCTATTTAATTTCAGAATCACTAAGATAAAATTCTCTTGCTGACGGGACATGAAGGTCCAGGCTAAAGGTGGCGTCATACAATACAAATGTGTCCAATGGACTCTAATCCTGGGAGTGTCTGTGGTACAGGAGCAACGAGGTTTGAAATGTACAGAGTCAAAGGTGGTCTGTGGAAAATTCTTGCAAGTCTTACATCTTCTATATGAAGTAAACTAGATCGGAGTTTTCCTGAATTTGACAATTCCTAGATATTTAGACAATATTATCAACAATGAATTGTAAAACTGAAAGAAACTTTTCTAATTCATCAGCAATAAAATTTTGTTAATTAGATGTGCTAGAGGAAAGACAATTATTTTTCTATTCATCTTGTAAAAATAATATCAAAAATTATTGTTATATGAGGGGGCAAATAATATGAGGAGAGGAGTTTTACAGAGGTGTGCCAGGTAGTTAATTAAACAATTGCTGTTTTTCTAGATATTGTGATATTTATGCTATTTGTCAGTTGTTAAGTTTTGTTGTTTGTTGTGGTTTCTTTTTCTCATTCTAAATAAACATTTATTTTCAGACCTAATTTTGTGTTCTTTTTCTTAAAGAAGGCTACCCAGATTTCAGAACCCACAACAACTGAACTATATCTGCATAGGAGCTTTTAAATATTTAAAAACAAGATAAAGCTTTTCCCTTTGGTTAAGGATTCTTAATATCATAGTCAAATGTGATCATGCTTTACTTCATCTAGAATCCGACCTCTGAAATGGAATTGGTAGCCCTGGGGTGTCAGAACTGAGAACAGTGAGAGGCGCATAGATTCATCACCAATCACCCAGCAGGAAGGAAACCTGGGTGGAATCTGGCACCTAGTATGAATTTCTGTTCCAGAAAAGAAATCTTCCACAAAGAAGGTCTATTGAAATGACCTGGTAGAACTTTTATCTAATTTAAAACAGGAAACCCTGAGAAGTTTTTCAGAGAAGTGTGAAACACTGGATATGGGATGCCTGGGTTCAATTCACCCAGGTTTTCTCACCATAAAGGAAAAGTTAAGATAGGTCAACAGAGTGGATAATGATGATAATACTGTCTTTTCTCAATATTCCTTCCTGTCCTCTAAGTTCTGGGCTGGATTGATGGATGTTATGGGAGATCTTATGGTCAATGGGGACAGCTTCTAACACGATCTTATGGTAGTTTATCTCCCTCACAAGAGTAGATGGGATTAATACCCTGGGATAATCATTTGTAAGCAAGGTGTGCCAATGTCACTGGCCCTTTCCAGAGAGAAGGACTTTATGTGCATAGCTCACTCCTTACTCACTTTTTTTTTTTTTTGAGTTGGAGTCTCGCTCTGTCACCCAGACTGGAGTGCAGCGGCAGCTCCTGGCCACTGCAGCCTCAACCTGCTGGGCTCCGGCAATACTTCCGCCTCAGGCTTCCGAGTAGCCAGAATTACAGGTGCGCGCTACCACGCCCAGCTAATTTTTGATTTACTGCAGAGATGAAGTCTCACCAAGTTGCCCAGGCGGGTCTCAAACCAGTGGGCTCAGGCAATCCACTCACCTCCGCCTCCAAGGCGCGGAATTACAGGCTGAGCCACCAAGCCCGGCTTCCTTACTCATTTAGTAGTAATCTTGTGTGACTGCTCTTTTAGGTATACATGCCTCCCATTAAAAGATTAACTTGTCCTTTTATATCACAAATAAAGCAAAAATAAAATTATAATTGTCTTTCACCACGGGCTCACAGTTTGGCTCCAAGGGTACCAATAAAAAGTGGTTAGAACACCCCATCTGTTAGTGGAACTGGCCACCTACTGGTCCCCACAGCAAAGGATCACAGGTTGCAAAAAGGGCTCTTCTGTCCTGAGTTCCCAATCCTGAGTCTGGAGATCAGTACAAGTCACAAAATTGAAGACTTCTTCCTTTGAGCTGGAGTCAGTGTGGGCAATAACTGGATATGACTTAGTACCATATTTGATAGGGAATAAAAGGTATACGGAAGTCTTTCAACAGCCTCTTGTGCTTGACATTTCTGTTTCAGTGTGATCAAAAGGATCAGAGTACAAAACAGTCCAGGGAAGATAACCATTTCTAATTTCAGCAGGTCTAAAAACAATGAGTTTTTAGAATTATCTAGTAATTCTTTTATTTGGCTGTCTTTTGGGAAATTTAGTGATAAAATCTGTAATCCAGAATAATAACACATTCCACAGAAGAGAATAACAGCAGGTTTATGTTGCGAGACTGAGCAGGACAATGGCAGGTCTGATCCCAGCTTGTTTAGACAAAGGCATTTCCCAGAGAACATAATGTATTCCTGGTGCTGGGAATTCTGTGAGATCTTATCTTTCTTTGAATTTTTTCTTTTCCATTTATGAATAGAATGAACTTGAAGAACTAGCAATACATCATGGCCATCCGTACACATAGACATATGGAGGTGTTTTTCAGCAAAGCAAACAGTCTCTTTCATGATGCTGGTTTGAAGCTATCCTGAAAGAAGCTACATTTCAGGAGGAAAAGGATCCCTCTCCTCTAATTTTACCCAAATTCATTATTGAGTCATCAAAAAGAAAAAAAGTCAAGGGCTGGTAACTTTTCTTGATGTTCTCTTCCTTCTATTTTAATAGAGATGCTAAAAGAACAAGCTGAAATGATTTTCTAAGATAAACTCTGCTTTGGTTCTCCTACCCTGGAAACTCTCACCCAACCCTCCCTGAACCCAGAGCTCACTTTCTTGTAATGAGATCGTGAATTGAATTGATTTGACCGTTGGATCTTTTCCACTTTAATGATAGCTGCCCCTGTGGGAACTGGTGGTTGGTCAAGGCTATGAATGGACACCCACTACCTCTGCTCTCATCTTACCCCACCTTTTTCCATGTCGGACTTGATCTGCTCCTCAAGATCTTCTGGGGACATGAAGCAGTCCTCTTCTCTCATCGATGACTTGGGCCGGCAGTGTCCACAGCAGCAGTTGCAGCAGCAACACAGGCAGCAGCAAAAATAGCAACCCGTCAAGAGGCCAAAGATGACAAACAGAGTCTAGGGGAAACAGAGGCAAAGCAAAATGGAAGTGAGGGGTGGTGGAGTGAAGGGTGGTGGGGTGAGGGGAGACCCCCAGAAATCAAGTCTGAGACCATGTACCCCTAGAGACCTGAAGACGTCACAGTTCACCCCCCACAACCTTACTTTAAGAACTACTTTTTTAAGTTTCCTTGGCAACCAATTTCCTCAGAAAGTTTTGTCTAACAAGTTTGACCCAGAGGAAATGACTTGTAGCCAAAGTCATAAAGTATGGCATTTTATTCTGTATTCTTAAGCTATACTGTGGAAAGCAGAGCAAAACAAAAACCAAACAAACCAGCAAAGCCTCCACAGGTCAAATGAGCCAGCCGAGCCACACTGCCCAAGGGAACTGAGTCATTCTCACCAAAGAAGAGCTATGTGATATCTCCCCCTCGTACCCGCACATTGCAATTAGTCACCAAGTCCTGCAGAGTCTCTCTCCTCGAGATCTCTTGCATCCTTCCCCACGTCTCCATCCTGGCCAGAGTGCTTTAGAATAGACCTTCATTATCTCTGGTCTGCACATGTCAGCAACCTCCCAGCTGGCCTCCCCACCTCCCTTCTTGCCTTTCTCGAATCCATCCCGTGCATTGCCGATGGAGTGAACTTTCTGAGATACATGTTCTCATGAACCCATGTAGCAGCCCTTCTGCATCACAGATATAGCCAAGCGCCTTATTATGGTGATCTGGCCTCTGCCAATAACCCTCCCCAGCACAGCCTTGTTCTTACTCTTTCCCGCCTTACAGCTTTGTTCTTCCTGTACAGTCATCTTCCTAGACGTCCCCTTCCCATTTTCCAGTCACCTGGTGTGTAAGACTCATCTCAAGGTCTCCTCCTATGTATGATGTCTTTCCTGATTCTGCCCCCAAACAATTTCTCTTTTCCTTGTGCCCCAAGTGTACTGCATAAAAACTACTTTGATGCTTTTATTTTTTTAAATGTCTACTTTTAGAGCATTGATCAGTTTTTAGGTGTGTGTCATGGTATTAGATCGTGAGCTTCTTGCAGGCTGGCACTATCTGTTAGTCATCTTTCAGCTTCTCCTACCTGAGAATTTAGTACTTGGCGTGTGGCAGACACTTGTAAAGATACCTGCTGAATCAATGAATGTAACAAGTAATAAATAAATAATTTGCTCCACCTGGTGAGCAACAGCAGAATTTCCCCACAAACATAAAAGGTTTGCCCACTAAGTTTGTCATAGCGAAAGGTAAAAAGAAATGCTCTCAACGTTTCCAATTTGAAGTTATGAGGTCCATTTTTGTGAACTGAGTAAAATCAATTTGTGATTTTAAATAGAAAGAATGTGGTTTATACAGCTTTAATTGAAATGCAGATTTTATTGAATTAAGGGAGCATGGGTCATAAAGAGGACCCCTGTGCCTCTTCCGTAACTTAAGGTGGAAATCTTTCATGTTGACGACCCTCACCTGCCCCATTCCTGCTTTCTAGCCCAGGACTCCATCTCTCTGACTCTGGCCCCAGGTGAGGAGGTAGCCTCTGGGGACTTGGAGTGGGGCAGCTTTAGTCACAGTCTCACATATTTTACCTCTTTGCTATGAAACTTTATAGTGTGTAAGTTACTCTGAAGACAACTGCAACACCCTCTTCTTCACCAACTGCCTCCAAGACCCTCCTGTGCAGTGTTCTTGAGCCACTGCCCCAAGAAGCTCCTTTTTTCTCTAGCTACTTTGCCCTTTTTGTTTTTATTGTGGATACTATGTAATTTCCATATTATTCTCATCTCTGTAAATATTTTTACCATTCCTATACTGTTTTGTCCTTTAATTATTCCAATTAGATTGTTAGCCCTTTCGCAGGAAATAGCATTGCCTTATCCCTTATAGTGCTTAGCAAGGTATGGCACAAATAAGTGTCCAATGTTTTTATAAATACGTATATTTGACGGCACATTGATTCATTCATGTACTGTATATTTAATACATGCTATACGTAGGGTCACTCTGATGGACACTGTGCAATTGGGCTTTGGCACAAGCAGAAAAAGAAAGGCATATTTTTGTGGTCTTAATTTTAAAGAGCCACATTAGGAATTTTTTTTTAATAACTCTCGCACTTCTGGACAAATTCTGCTCTTCTATATGAATTTTGATCAATTTCATCAACTTCCTGGGCAAGGAAAACTATTCTCATTTTTATGCAGGCTGGCCCCAATATGTAATCGGGTACACATGTATAATTATCTGGACCTGCAGATGTATCTGCTCATGGAAAGAGTGTTATGCTCATGCAAGCCCACGAAAGCCCATATTGTCACATGAATGTTCAATCTATTGTCATAAATGACATTGTCAGTATGTACACTCTAATTCCAAGTCCCAAATCTGCTCCACAGAAACTTGTCCTCCTCCCAAGTCTTCAACAAGAGAAAAAGAGATTTCCATAAGAATCCCAGGTATCCCGGAGGGGGGAAAAAAGCAGATCTGGGAATTGGAGTAGGCAAATGAGGCTTTAGGTTGCAGACACTTTCTGCATGCCTAAGCACAAAAACATATTCTCTCTCTTCCTGCATATATGAAGGGGACCCCTCAATCGAAATTTATTTATAAAAATTGTGCATTTATTCTTGCATGTTTAAACTTTAGTCACCTTCAAAGTACTCTCCGTTTGATGCAATACACCTATTGAGATACTTTTTCCACTATTTAAAAGGCTTTTAGTGCTACTGCTGGTTTTCTTTTTTTTTTTCTTTTTTTTTCTTTGTTTCACCTCTTCCACACTGGCAAAACATTTCCCTTTGAGGAATTTTTTCAACCGGAGAAACAAACAAAAGCAAGACACTCAGGTGAGATCAGGTGAATGGGGAGGGTGGAGCACAGGGGGTCATGCTGTTTTTGGTCCAAAACTGCTGAACATTCAGTGTGGTGTGGTGCCTTCATAAATCACCCATCATGAAATGGGCAATTTCATGGAAAGAATCTCCAAAAAATTCACTGAAGCTGAATTCAGCCTCTTACAACAATACTATTAATATTTGGTACACTGATGCCGATGGGTTTCTAGAACACTTATCTAGCGGGGGAAGCCTGTACTACAACAAGGGCTCTTTTCTGGGTTTTTTGGCGGGTCTCCCCTCATATAAAACTCAATTTTGCAAGATTTAGTGGAAGAAAATAGCAATCAAAATACTACTGAGCCTGAAACTTGCCTTTTTGGAGATTTAATAATAATAACTGCTATAAATTAGAACTTAATACGAGTATGAACTGTTCACAAAAGATGCTGATGGACTGTATATGGCCCATATGCAAATATTTTCATCAAAAGATAAGGATATTAAAATTTGCAAATAAAAACCATTACCAAGCACATATATATTAGAGATTCTTAGGAAGTCAAACAAAATTTACTGTACAAAAGTCAATTCCAATTACACTAAGTCCTTATGAATGTTGCCTTTTTCTTGACCAGATATCCATTTTGCTCCCTGTTCCCTCCTATCCTTCTCTCCAACTTCCTGTCCTCTGCTACTTAATCCTCACCTTTTCCCCTTCATTTTCTTCTCCTCTACCTCACAGCAGGCTCTGTGTGAGGCTCTGACATAATTATCACTCATGCTCCCCAGTATTGTGTTTGCTGATGGAGCCTATACCATAGATAGTGAAGTACATGGCTAAATTTATCCTAAAATCATTTATTAAGTAGTTGTCACACTAATAAGTTATTTTTGGTTTTGAGTAATGAGTCAGTTTTTAATTAGTCATTGTGAAAGGGGAGGAGGCAGTCAGAATTAACCTGAAGTTCCAAATTCCAATATAATTAATGTCTAGGAGTATTATGTCATGCTGTATTTTATAATTATTTGATGAGCTAAAACAAAAATGATCCTAAACAGCCTTCAGTAGTAGCAACATCTCCTTTTATTTACAAGAGTTTGTTAATAGTAAGGTTAGATTTTCTTTGAGATGAAGCCTAAGAGAATAAATAACACTGTGGTCTACCAGGAAATTGTTTTTGAAGGCAAAAAAAAATCAGATTCACCTTAGCCCACCAGCTTGACAGCATGAAGTAGGTGTTAACATTCTCATCTCCAAATTGCTCAGCCACATAGAGTCCCAATGATCCGTACTTGTCATATATGGTTCTCTTTGAGATGTCAGTAAGTATTGTGTGGGCGTTGTTAATTTCTTTAAACTTTTCAGCAGCAGCTGGATCATCTGGATTCTTGTCTGGATGGTGTTTCAGGGCCAATTTTCTTTTAAAGATAAAATAAAAACGAGGAAAGTGTTATTTGACAAGAATTAATGATGACATTTTAGAAGGGCATTGCTCATTTTATATCCTTTATTCATGCAAATACTATGAAATAAGTTTCACACTAGTGGCAGTTAGGTAACTAATTTCCATTAAAGGATGCCTTGTTTCTAATGTGCAGGCACAATCGTATTATTTCTCCCCCAAAGGATTTCTCAATAGCTGCATAGTTGTTGAACATGACACATTTTGTTGTTGGCAAATATGAGGGGGTCCCCCAAATGAAATCTATTTATTAAAAAAAGTGTATTTATTCTTCAATGTTTACGCTTCAGTCGCCTTCAAAATACTCTCCATTTGATGCGATACACCTATGGAAACAGTTTTTCCACTACTCAAAACAGTTTAGAACTCATCAATTTTAATGCCTTGGGTGTTTCTGCTATTTTTTGTTTCACCTCTTTCACATTGACAAAACGTTTCCCTTTGAGGCCTTTTTTCATGGGAGGGTGGGAGTCAGTCACTCGGGACGAGATTGGTGAATAGGGAGAGTGGGGCATGGGGATCATGCTATTTTGGGTCAAAAACTGCTGAACACTCAGCACAGTGTGGGCAGGTACATTGTTATGGTGGATGAACCAGTTACCTGTTTGTCACATCTCGGGAGTTTTCTTCCAGATAAAAACTTTGGTTGATCGTTTGATCTAGAGAGGGGCCCACCCTCTGAAAGAAAACACTAGGGTTTTTTGGGTCCCCCCTCATACCTGAAAGTTTCTCTTTACCTGAAAAACTGATCAGTGAGGCCTTTAAGGGTTCCAGCAACAGGACCAGTTTACACCAAAATTCCATTTAGAACCAGAAGAACGTTCCAGAATTAACAGAACTTCACATCACATATTCTAAAAGTTTAACTCAGCCATCGAAAAGGTCCTTAATTTGAACAAACTCTCTTGAACAAATATTTTGACCCCCTCACAAATCTCCCACAATTCTCCTTGGTTTTTTTGAACAAGTACTGTACTTCCTTTGTATTCAAATGTATTCTCTTTCCAAATAGGTCTTTCCACTCAAATAATCTATAGAAATTTACTTGTGAGTGTAAGGCCCTTTTCTCCTCTTCTGATCAGAATCATAAAGCAGTTCCTGAGGGATGTGGTTATGTGCCCTGTCTGGGGCAGGAGATGGTGGTGGTGGGTGGGATTTGTGAGTGTTCTTTATTTTTCAGTTATACACACGTATAAAAGGGAACCTATACAATGAATACAAAAACTCAGCTGTAGTGATTCCTGACTGGTGGCCGTTTTTCTCATTTCCTCTTACAGACAGATATAAATAATGATTAAAATCATGTTCAAAACTGAGTCTATGCTATTTTCTCCACTAAGAAGTCAATTAATGTTATGACTGTCACCTGACTCATTTTCTCTGTACTGTGCCTATCATCAGTAGTATATGAGGAATACACCTTAAGTTTTTGTTTATTGTATTGGTTTGGGTCAAATCGCTTCATTTTAAAACAGTAACGAAAGTCTAGAAGTAAAGAAGAAAAGTAAACAATACGTTATAAATCAATCTTCATGATAAACTGAGCATATGTTAGGATTAAAGTATTATTGATTAGGAATTAGGTGAATATTTAAGCAGCTTGGCATTAGGATGCTTAAAAAGTTCAAAAATATTTAAAAGCATAAATCATGATGGATAATTCATGCTAAGAATAAGATTAAATAAGAAAACAATGATGACTCATTTTAAATTTATTTAACCAAAACATTCTTCATCTTTTTTGAAAGATATTTGGAGTATTTATAGATTCTTATAGTTGAGACCATTTTTCTACATACAGAATTTATAATAAAATCTGTTGCTAATAGCACAAAATGCCTCTTATGTCATTTTAAAACTTTTATGTTTACTATATTATAAGCATGCTATAAATATTAATTCATTAATCCTCACAACAACTCTATGGGACAGATATAATTATCTTATTTACTGATGAGGAAGTGTAGACACTGAGAAGTTAGATAACTCACCCAATATCACATAGCTATTCATTAAAGCCAGGCTTCGAACACAGGTATGTCGATCCTGACCACATGCTCTTTTTTTTTTTTTTTTTTGAGTTGTAATCTCACTCTGTCGCCCAGACTGGAGTGCGGTGGCCCAACCTCGACCTGCTGGGCTCTGACGATCCTTCTGCCTCAACCTTCCAAGCAGCTGGAACTACAGGCGCGCGCTACCACACCCGGCTCATTTTTGGTTTTTCTTGTAGAGGTGAGGTCTCGCCAAGTTGTCCAGGTGGGTCTCGAACCCAGGGGCTCAGGAAATCCACTCACCTGGGCCTCCCAAAGAGCTGGGATTACAGGCTGAGCCACCGAGCCCGGCCCTGACTACATGCTCTTAACCACCACTATGTTGCCTCTTTTATTTATATTTTTAAATTTCAAAAGTTAGGCACATAGAATGCTTAGTAGGAATTTTAAGGTCATTGACCTTAGTCTAGGTGATGTGGGAAACCATCAGAATGTTTTGAGAAGTGTGACATGATCAGAACGTAGTTAAAGAAGGATCACTTAGTCTTAGAGAGGACAAAGGCAAAAGTGGGGAGACTTGTAGTGATCCAGGCAAAAATTCATGATGATTTGGACAAATGCAGTAGTGGAGGATACAATGAGAAGTGATTGGATTCTGAAGCTATTTTTAGGAATCACTGATAGATTGGTTATGGGGTGGGAGGGAAAAAGAAAAATCAGGCTGTTATTAAAGTTTTGGCCTGAGTAACTGAAAGTTTGGAGTTTCTATTTAAAGAGATAGTAAGACATACATATTTGTAGTGGGGGGTATTTTGTTAGGGTTCAGGAGTTCTATTCTGGACACCTTTGTGTTGCCTATTAGACTTCTAGGTGTAGAGGGAAATAGAAATGAATCTGGAGTTCAGGCAAGAACTACTGCAGATGTACATTTGGGAGTTCTCAACAGGAAGATGATGGTATTTAGAACCATGGAACCCAAAGAGATTCCCAGAAGAGTAGGTCTCCAAGAAGTATAAGAACTGAGCTTTGGAAAGGGAAAACCAGAAAAGGAGATTGGTATAGAGACCCACTAATGTACAGCCTCTAGAGAAGGTCATGGCAAGGTTCAAGTGCTCCTGTACATTCCTGAACAATATTCCCGAGAGCTAATAAAAGGTGTATTTCCCTTTATCTCCTATGCACTCCCAATAAGTAGCTGCAGGTGATTCTTGACTTCCCTGTAGTCTATGCCCCATCAACTGAAAGATGCAAATCTCTATTTACTCCATTTTTCTGAGTGGTTATAAGTTTGAATAATATAGTATCAATGTAATCATAAGCCTTGTGATTTGTATAACTTTTGTGTGATGTATGATGTCTTAGGCCTTGAAAACTCCCTTTACTCTATGGCAAGCTTGATTAACACTTCTGCTGGACCCTACTGATAAAAGCTATGAGATACCTCTGATACCTGGCACCAGAAAGTCTGGACCGAAAAATGTCACTATTGATAATTGTGGCTGAAACTCAAGTTCTATAACCACGCTCTGCTGGTCACATGGCTAATGTATAGGTACTAACAACCCTGGACTTATAAAAGTGAACTGTAAAAGCCTGGAGGGTGATCAGAACCATTTTAGAAAGGCCTCGAGTCTGGCTCTGCTCCCTGGATTCAAACTCAGAAATGAACTTCTTTCTACCAGTTCCCTGCCCCTTTCATTCATTGGTATTAAGGAGCCGAGCATCACTCAGACTATCATAAGACTCAGAGAGAAAGGCCAATGATACAGAGGGAAAAATTTAGTGAGTGTGGGGTCTAGGGATCCAAGTAAAGAAGGAGGGTGATCATCTATGGCAAATGCTGCTAACAGGTCATGTAAGAGAAGCACTAAGAACTGACCGTTGGATTTAGAGATGAAAATCCTCAGTGGTCTCCTCACATACACACATATGCACACACAAATAATTATAAGTGTCTTTATATAGGGAAAGATAAAGCAGAAAAATATGCAAAAAAGAAATAAGAAAATGGAAAGTTGTAGCCAAAATGAACAGTATTTAGCCGGGCTTGGTAGCTCAGCCTGTAATCCTGCAATTTGGGAGGCTAAGGTGAGTGAAATGCCTGAGCCTGCGGGTTCGAGACCCGCCTGGGCAACTCGGCGAGACCTCATCTCTATAATAAATCAAAAAATTAGCAGGGCGTGGTAGCGCGTGCCTGTAATTCCGGCTACTCAGAAGGCTGAGGCAGAAGGATCGCCTGAGCCCAGCAGGTCAAGGCTGCAGTAGCCGGGAGTGGCCACTGCACTCCAATCTGGGTGACAGAGTGAGACTCTCACTCAAAAAAAAAACAAACCCAACAAAAAACAGTGTTTATAGCTGCACATTGAGTTTACAGATTTAACTTTAGGGTTTTTTTGTTAAACTAAAATTTAGTTTTAGTTAACTATGCTTAAACTTAAAACTTAGTTTTTTGTAAAACTGTTTTAGCTTTGTTATTAAAACATATTAAGTTATTAAATACATATTACTTGTGTGGTCCTTTCCCCTAAGCATTTTAAAGTTCTAGTCACAGATTTTGTTCTCTTTGAAGAGCTGAAAGTTCAGAATTTGTTCCCTTAAAAGACAGATTACCAAATTGAAGAAAGGAGGATGGGTAGAGGAAGAAAGAAAGAAAACTACTCCTCAGATTGCTACAATGCTGCAATCATCATAAAGAAAAAACCTCAAATGGATCCTATTAGTTTTTATTTTTATTTATTTATTTATTTATTTTTTGAGTTGGAGTCTCACTCTGTCGCCCAGAC